GCTAATATAAACATTCAGTGAAATTTTCATGTATCTACAGTGTTATTTGTTTTTGAGTTACAACAAAATAAGGAAATCGCTACATGGGAAATCGAGTGAATATTCAATGTTGTAAAAATTTGAATTTCAAACGCTCATAAAAATTTAATTTGACTTTCTTGTAGACTTTTTTCTTTTGATAAAGGTAGATAATCTTATAAGGAATCTTATGTTTAATTTTCAAATCTTGGATTTAAAAAGAAAAATTTTTACGAATTCTTAACTCAAAATAATTTGCTAATTTTCGTGATTTTCCCATATTTTGTCAATTTTTGAACTTTAAATGCTTATAAAAAAAAATTGTGACTAAGGATTTTTAATATTTTTCATCTGCCTTTGAAACAATATATTAGGAGCCTTCTATTAAATTTTCTAGCTTTCGCAACCAACAAATAAAATTTTATTGATATTTTTAGAAAAAAAACTAAAAAAAAATGGAAAATGAAAATGTCCCTAAACAGTTCAAAATAAATCAAAATATTTTGAAAATGTTTTCGTGTATAGAAAATGCAAATATAAACAACCAGTGAAAATTTCATGTATATACGTTCATTTGTTTCAGAGTTACACCAAAAACCAAAATCGATTTTTTGGAAAACCAATTTTGCGTAAAAATTCCCGTTTTTCCTTAATTTTTATGTTGTTTTTCCCGGCGCTTGTGAAAACTACTGGGAAATTTATACTTTTGACCCCCAAAGTACCAACTAGATTCACTTTCCTATCAGAAAAGCTACTGATGAAGAAAATCAAAGCACTTTTACTGTCCTAAAACGTGATGACAGACACAAAAATAAACAAAAAAAATAAAAATAAAAATAAAAAAAAAAATAAAAAAAAAGCACACATCATTGTAAAATCAATACATTCATCGTTTCACTCAGAATCTAAATTGATTTTGTAGTTTAAAATTTATAAAACATTCAAATTTTATAGCTAAAGATCAAAATTCAAAACAAGGTTCTTAAATAGGTTATTTTGTATCCAAAAAATTTAAAAAAAAATACAAAAATACATTTTATAGTTATTTTATGTTCAAATTTGGTCGAAATTATAGATATTGGAACGAAGAAGAACGATTTATGTTTTGTGTTTTATTTAAAAAATATTATTCGTGGGTACTTAAAACCAGGGCTTGAAACCGAAAAAAATTTTTCCGGTTTCGGTTTCGGTTTCGGATACCGGTTTTGATTTTTTCCGATTTCGGTTTCGGTTTCGGATACCGGTATCAATTTTTTCCGATTTCGGTTTCGGTTTCGGATACCGGTATCAATTTTTTCCGATTTCGGTTTCGGTTTTGGATACCGGTATCGATTTTTTCCGATTTCGGTTTCGGTTTTGGATACCGGTATCGATTTTTTCCGATTTCGGTTTCGGTTTCGGATACCGGTATTGACTTTTTTCGATTTCGGTTACTTCATCGTTTATAAGTTGAAACTATTTTCTCAATGAGGGGCTAACTTTATGTGTGTCCCACCCACCACATTAATCAATTTGATCACAGCTTGATTATATTATACCAATCTAGATTAGGTATATTAATCCAATAGAGTATGGTTGATGGTGGGTTGGTAGGGAGCACATTTTTCAGTCGATGGCTTTTAGGGAAACTCAGACAATATTATGTTAAGGCCTTATAATGTATTATAATAAATTATAAATTATATAAATTATTTATAACTATACTATAATTATTGACTCAGTATTTCATAATTTATTGTTGGCTATTGTGTTAATTTAATGTAGGAACATTATGCCACATAGTTATTTCTGTCTTCTGATCGTCTGTGGCGGCAGAAAAACACGATAGCTTATAATATAGTAAATAATAATAGTATTATTGTTATACAATTTTTATTATAGCGTATTTCTGCGTATACTGTTTTCGAATACGACTATACGATTAATCCATTTACCAAAATAATATATAATATATAAATATAATAATTATTATATTGGGTATAATAATAATATTATATTATGCGTCTAATAATTTATATACCCTGTGGAATTACCTATGCAAACATACGGGTGCCCGCAGACGAAAATATTAATTATAATAATATAATATATTAGGCACCATTAATCATTATTAATATCAATTGTATTACTGCAGAACTCAGAAAGTATACATAATAATATAAATATCTATATAGGTAGGTACTTTCGAGTTAATATTTTAGAATCCAGTAAAAAACTAAGTAAAACTAAGTAAAAAAAAATAAGACATAGCACATGACCTAGGCTACAGGTCTAATAAATGGACCAAATTAATAATTTTTAATAATATTATTATAAACGCGCCATGGAAACGGCAATATAAATATTATAAACTATTAAAATAAATAATAATATATAATATTTATATGATAATTTATAAAAACTAATAATATACCAACAAAAATACTATGTCAACTCCATGTAAAAAAAATTTAATTTAATTTAATTCTTCGTTTTGCGCACGGAGTAAACAATTACCCCAGACGTATTAATACAGTATATTAATAATTTAATATGATAATTTATAAAAGACTAATGAACTTTAACTTAGCATAGTTATTTTTTATTTAAGGATAACTTAACTTTAACTAGTTAAAAAAATTGGTTAACTCGCCCAGCTTTGCCATCATCCACATGATGTTATAATAAATAATTATATCTTATAAGTTATAATATTATATTTAATATTGATCACATTGTATGATAGAAGGATAGAACAAATTTACATAATATACACGATATTTATTATTTTCTACCATATGCATTATAAATTATATTATTTATAGCTTTTAAACAGAAATTCAATTATAGTCTATAGGTTTATTTTAAATGCGTAGAACTTTTTAAATGTTAGATATTAATGTTATCATTTTTCGACTTCCGTTTCGGATATCATGTTATTTCTTAAGATTTCGTCTTAAGTTTCAAAAAACGGTATTATTTTTTCCGATTTCGATTTCGGTTTCAGATATCGGTATTTATGTTTTCCGATTTCGGTTTCGGTTTTGGATATCGGTATTTATGTTTTCCGATTTCGGTTTCGGTTTCGGATACCGGTATTTATTTTTTCCGATTTCGGTTTCGGTTTCGGAAACCGGTATTGATTTTTTCCGTTTTCGGTTTCGGTTTCAGATACCGGTATCGATTTTTTCCGATTTCGGTTTCGGTTTTGGATACCGGTATTATTTTTTTCCGATTTCGGTTTCGGTTTCGATTTCGGTTTCGGTTTTTAACGGTTTAAACCGGTATTCAAAACCGGTATCGAAAATCGGTTTCAAGCCCTGCTTAAAACTTCTAAAGTATATTATACTGTGGTAGACATAAGCCATGAAGGAAGTACAGTAGTACACCAACAGAATGGGTTTTATCTATTACGTAGTATGCCTACTACAGTAGCTATATTATTATAATAATATAATTTTGTGTTGCTTGGAAAAAAAATTGGGCTTAGTGACACGTAGTGAGTGGCACATGTACGCGGGAAACCGACCTCGTGACGGCCGCCTTATTGCTGTCAGCAGAGATTGCCACCGCCGACGGTTCTCGTAAGAGGAGTGCATCTGCTGCTGTCAACGCGCGCCTTGGGTGGTAACACCGCCTACTTGACGTGTGCCGATGGACTCTATCAGTTCGAGAGAGGGAAATAGAGAGTGAAAAAAAGAGAGGGTGTGAGAGAGGGTCGCTCAAACAATATTTGATGAACACGAGTCTCCTCGTCTCACCTGCCGATTTTATATTTATCTTCGTCAAGAATGACGTTATTTAATTTATTAGTTATTTATTAATTAATATCACCGGCTTAGATCAATACGATGCAGTAATTATTTGTCATAATATAATACTTAAACATAATATTGTATTATTATTTATTTGAAAATCGTTTGCTAGTGATATTATTATACACTATACAATTATATTATTACTATGGCACTACTGGCGTGGTCTGCGTTCTAGAAATAAAATTACCATTTGGACAGGTGTATTAGGTACGTTTCACACGAATATTTTATTACGAACTCACTATAGGCACTAGGCAGTCAATGTTTTTATAACCTATTATAAAAGTGACGTGTTTATAGAAAAAGCTAAAATTCAATTCCATTTTATTTGCCAATAATTTATCGATGTGACGTCATGTTATAATGTTATTAGAATTAATAATAATAATTATTGTTGATTATTTGTTTAATATTTATAAGAAATAATAATAATGTACACGTATAGGTTATCTGTGCTATAAATTGTGTATAATAATATTTGTACCAACGCTATAAATGTATGATATTGTTCTTGATTTTGAATAGCTATATATAAGATGATTTATACATTGTCTATTATAATATTATACTAATTACTATAAAAATATCATTTCACTTAAAGTATAATAATATAATACTCATATTGATATCGTTAATATGCAGTCATAGTAGGATGTAATTCGTGCTTTCACCACTTATAATATATTGACCATACCTACTGGTTGTCAGTAGAAGTCGAAAATTGAATGAAAATTATACAAACAAAAATTATTACGTTTTACTTGTCGATACGGTACGTATACAATAGTTATCGGGCAGCTAAAAATATTGTACTACTGGCAAGGCCTCGCCGGAGCGCGCGTCGGTCGAGTGTTTGAAAATACGTCTTGTCCTCTCGTCCGTGTACCGGCACTCCCGTAGTCCCGTCCTCACAGGCGTTCAGCAGTTCTCGTCTGACGTTCTTACCGTTCGCATTCTGTTCGTTGTGTTTGTGCTGTGCGATTTTTTTTGTTAATTTTTTTTGTTAATTTTCGTGATCGCTCGAAGTGTTTCGAATACTTAACTTTCAGCCAAGCCAAATAACAATAATATTGTATTTTTTTTTTTTTATCATTTAAAAGAAGAAAACGTTTGTTAGTTTTTTTTTTTTTTATCTGAGTTCGACTTTTCGGTTCGAAGTGTGTTACAACCGTTTGGCCGTTTACTATGGCAATCATGGACTCGAATCCGGAGGGCAATCAGTACCAGTACATTCAAGACACTTCTTTAGCTTCGGTAATTAACAATTTATCATCTGTTAATGCACACAGGTTATTTTTTTAAATTCAAATGAGTTTTGTCTTATTAACGCTAAAGAAAATACAATAATTATGTTTTTTATTACTCGAGTATTCGACGACCCGACTTCACAATTCTCTAATATTTAGGTACAACCGTTACAGGCTGTATCATTCACGATGCAATCGAATGAATTTAGAAAAACTATAAAATGCTATAACATCCAGATTTCAATCATAATTATAGGTATAAACTGTATAGGAGTATTGCTTGATTGTAAAATTGTTTTGTTATAAACATGAACTAATATTAAAAACTGCAATATAAATCATAAAATATATTACTTTGTAAATTTGCAGTTCAATAAATATACCTTTATAACTTCGTCTTTATAAAACATAAAAAAACACACTATTAAAATGAAAATCTCAATTGATTTGATGTGAAACCATCATTTTAGATTTTTAATTGCTTGTTAAATATAAAATTTTATTTTAGACTTTAGAGCAGTTAATTATTAAACAGGTGAAAGAAAAATCAGTTTTATGCACCTGCTGATGTCCTATATATTATAGTCTATTATACAGATTAATAATAAATAACTAATAATTAGGCATCTCATGTAAACACGTACAATAAATTATTGTACACTAACGATTTGCACGGGTACGTAATACAACAGGTTTATACCTATAAAATAATAGGCAATATAACATAACGAAGATAAAGTTCATTAATATTTATTAAACTCATTGATTTGACATCATGTGTTTATTTTTTTTCGACTGATGTGCAGTTAGACTTGTCAATCAATTTGGTGAAGGGCAATTTGCTATCGGCAACGTTTGCCTGCTAATTTTTTTTTCAAATTTTTTGTTCAACAAACTCCTAATTTAACACAATATTATCTAATAAACGTGTACTATTATTAGAATTGTATTCATTTCGAACATATGAGCTATCAACATCTGCGGCGTCGACAGCCACGGGTTTTGTTGCATAACACACCACATTTGTTTACACGTCATCGAACATTATAATATATTAATTAGTCTCCTCGGAAATTTATTACAATCGGAAAATTGTCAAATTCGTCGACACGGGTAATAATATTATATTACCATGATATACTGGATTCTAATACTCTTTGCTGTAATATATTATAAAATATGTAACGGTATCCTATAATATAATTACCATTAATATATCACCAGTTGCAGGTTGCAAACTTTTAGTTGTACAATTGTTATAATAGTTGTCTTCGGTTTCTCCCTCGACGGCCGTTAGGTTATAGTGATTATTACCGTGTCCTAACCGTTGGCCGTATAATGCAATCTGCTGCACGGTTGGGTCTAAACGCCACCCTCCCCTGAAAAAACCTCAAAATTCACATTTCTAAAGCGTTACTATAATTATTATCAGGCGCAGACTGGTAAAAAAGGGCTAGAGATGCTACACAATTTAAAGGGCAAATAACGAAAATTGTTAGGGAAAATTTAAAACATGTAGATAATTTATGAAATATTAATATACCTATTTTATTTTGTTTTGAAAAAATATTAAATATTGAATATACGTTAAAAACATAAATAAGTACCAAGTTACAACAAACTTACAATAAAAATTTTACAATATTATAGATCACTAATAATCGTAAGTTGGTAATAACGATCTGCTGTTCATTAGGTATCTAGAGTCTTTAAATATATATTAAAAAATATTAATTATGAAATAAATTTTGGGGCAATTGATGCTGTAGCATCCCAGCCAGTCCACGTCTGGTTATTAGCACTAATACCTAATACTTAATACATTACCTGTTGCTCGTCCGTTGACTAACCGATTTCGTCCGTTTTGTGTGTTACAGTTGGATTCCAAGACGAGCCCACTTGCCATGTTGGTTCGGACCTGCAGCCAGATCGGTGCAGATCCGCCGATGGCAGCCGCTGCTAAGTCGAAAAAACCTGCCGCCGCCGCTCCCGTCTCTGCTACAGCCGCCGCAGCCGACAGGCCACACAGTGCGTCACCTGCCGCCGCAGCAGTGGCGTACTTGGGCCACGGGGCCGCCAAGCACCACCGGACCAACATCAATAACAATTACATGGAAGACACGCCCAAACCTGCAAAGTTGAACTTTAAACCGTATGAGAACACCGTTTCAACACCGACGCCGCATCACCACATGCAGCACGCCGTACAGCACCACCATCACCACTCTTCGCCCTACGGTGTGCATCAGCTGCATTCCGACCATCACAACAACAACAACGACGACGACAGTCGGCCCAAGAGCAGCAGCTCGGAAGACAACGGCAACAGTGCAGGCCACGGCAAGAAGCGCAAGTCCGCTTCGCCACGCGATGAATACAACGGCGCTCACAACAAGAGCAGCCGCAGGTCGTCGTCGTCGGCTTCGTCGTCCGAAACCGCGGCGGCCGCGTCCACCGCTTCGTCCGCCAACGACCCGTCCACCAACCCGATCATACGGTCCGGTCTGGAAGTGATGCACGGCGCCACGGCCAAGGCGTTCTGCCCACCGCCGCCGATGCCCGCTCACTCGCCGTACAAATCACACGACCCGCTGGCCGCCTTCAGGCACACGTACCTGCCCGGCGCCCCGTGGATGCCGGCTGCCGTATCTCTGGCCGCAGCCGCGGCGGGCAAACCGTCGCCGTCGTCCGACTGCAAGGACCCGATGTGCGGTGGCCCGGCGTCCGGGTGTGGCCAGCAGCAGCAGCATGCAGCGGCCGCGGCCGCGCTAGCGTTTGCCACCCAATACCATCCAATGATGGCCGCGGCCGGCGCGTGTCCCGCCGGTTGCGTACAGTGCGACCACCAGCGGTACCTGTCCTCGCTGATGGCCGCTGCGTCCGTGCCCGCGTTCTACGCGCCCGTGGCCCGCCCGTACACTTGCAGCTGGGTGATTCCCGGCGGCCACATGCAGTCGTCGTCGCCCGCCACCGCCGCCACCGAATCGGCCAATGCGGCGTCGCTGTGCGGCAAGAGCTTCAGCACGTCCGACGAACTGTTGCAGCACATCCGCACGCACACGTCCGCCGGCGGTAGCGCCGTCTCCGCGGCCGCTTGCATGGCTGCCGGCGCCGCGGGTCCGATGTCGCCCACCACGGCCGCAGCGTTCTCCGCCTACAACAGCCACTTGTCCCGACACTTGTTCCATCACCCGTCCGCAGCCGCGGCTTACGGCAAACCGCCGTCCATGATGCCGCCGTCTCCGTACAGCGCGTTCAACCCAACGGCCGCGTACTGCTACCCGCCGCCGTCCGCGGCCGCCGCAGCCGCAGCCGCGTACCATCATCATCACCATCAGCAGCAGCAGCAGCTGTACTCGCCCCGCGGCGACACGTCCTCCGCCACCGTCAGCCGTTAATGTCAGACCGCTGTTTGCACAACAATTTATTTTTATTATTTCATCGATATATATAGTGACACTGTGATAGCCGCTTATATTGTATTCTGTTATTATTATTAATCGTCCGGCATACCGATCGGCAAACATCGATAAATGTGCGACACGATATTTTTCTCTCACTCACTCCTCTCTCTCTCTCTCAATCTCCGGACGACACATTAATATATTATTTTGTTTTGTTATATTATTATTATTATTATCATTATCAATTATCATCATCGTCGTCGTGTGACGTGTATGAGCAGTGTAGGTATACCTACCTACCTACTACTTACAATCCGTCTTTTTTGCCCACCCGCGGGGGGGTCTTGCGAGCGATATACGGTCGGCGCGTGTTTGTGTTTGTGTGTGTGTGCGCATATGTATTATAAAATATGTGATGTATTTGATTTAATTTATTATTTCGTGTAATTATTATCATAATATGACCCTCCTCGGTCTTGAGGGATACGATAATATGATGATTTTTTTTATTATTATTGTGTTTTTTTTTTCAAAAATTTTTTTTTTTTTGTTAATTATTGTAGACGCGCCGCATGCAATGCCACCACACCAACACTATAAAACTACTCTATTGATTTACGAGTTATTTATTAGTAGTACCTACTCACTCGTTTTAATTTTTTTTCATTTTATTACGACCTCGTTGTTATTTTAATTTAATACCGACGGCGTGTGTGATTTATCGTCGTCGTCGACGTTTTATATTATACACACCATAATATATTATTATGTATTACATTAGATTATTATTATTATTATTATTATTATTTACCTACTCGTGTACAAAATAATATTTGTGTCAAAAATAAACGATAAACTAAAACGTTATTCGTTGGGTTTTTGTTTCAATCGAACGTCAATCATACACACCTATATTCTGTTCCCTAGCCGTTTATTGCCGCTTTGCCGTATTCACAGCACGGCATTTCCTACGCAATACTAAAACTGTGTGCGAGTATAATAATATTATAATATCACTCGTGGGTATCAGTATATAATACTCTATACGTTATTAAACTATTAAAGTACATACATAGGTGACAACGGTGCATGAGATGTATAAATGGGTACACATTTTAAAGAAGCCATGCAATGTCAAAAATTTGTTGGTTGCAGTTACTATATCGTAACGAAGTGTCAAAGTTGAAAGTACTAATATGGTGAAAACTGAGAAGTAAAATATATTCTAACTTATAGGTAGAATAAGGTATCAATAAAGTAAATCTATTAAGAAACGATTTTCAGCTTGTTGACATTTTGGTTGCTAGTTCGCTTTGTTCGATATTTTAATCTTCAGGCAGCTTAATATGCATATTATCTACTCATGAGTAGCTGAAATATTACAAATTAAAAATTCCACTAAAAAATTAAAAGATCGAAAAAATCAACAGAGACATGAGCAACACTTGCATATGGGTAAAGTCTCATATTATTTGACAAAAATATATCTAATGTGAAAATCAAAAAGTTATTGCATCCGAACAAGTGTTAAAAAATAAAATCACTGTTGATAGGTACATTATGCCGGGCCGAATAAACGTTGTGATTTATTAGTTTTAATATAATATATAACCCAACAATACATAATTCATTAAAATATAACGCCTATAAGACTACGGGACCGTTATAATAGTTATATGCTTAATATATTATTATTATTATCATTGTTGCCGGAACGAAGTGTGTTTTAGGACGAGAACGGGCGCCTACAATTATTATTATTATTATTATTATTATTATTATTATTACCGGAATCACCTTTGGCGCCTCCGCGTGTGGCTAATTGCTCGTCGGCCGGCAGTCAGTATTTTCACACAAGCGCCGTCACGCCGGTCGAGCCACTGGTCGGTGCTGCCAGGGCAGGGCACCGGTTTGCTGCCCGCCATATACAAAATAACATAATACAGGTATAATTATTATACCTGGTACTCGTCCGGTATAGTACGCCGTCTACCGCACTTTGGATATAATATCTAATGGTTTGGTATAGGTTTTTTTTAGTAAACTATACTCGTCTACCAAAATGTATTGTAACGATTTACGGTGATTATATTATGCTGCCTCGTCGTCGTCGTTTAATGTCAAGCACGATATCGGTGAATTATCAGAAATTATCAGAACACAGGGACGTATAATATATTATTTGCGGATAGGTTTGCAATGTGGTTTGGTCTTTAATTTCACCTTCCCACCACCCACACTAAAATTGGGAAAATCGAATCATTTATTTTTCGTCGTTAATTTATATTAGTGTGGAATTTCAGTGTATTTGTGCTACCGAAATGGAAAAATAGAGGGGTTGGATCTTGAATCTGCCTTATAATATGAACAAAACATAGTACATTTCGCCAACATTAATATATGTAATTGTTCAACTCGTATAGTCGTACTACTCAGCTACATCTGTGACCTTCATAAAACAAAAAACAAAACAATGACAGGGTTACTCAGGTGATAGTGTACTGTATTATATTATTACATGCAACTTGATTTATAAACCTTTTGTACCCCTAAACATTCATGAAACTATCTTTTATATTTAAAATGTAATTGGAACTTATTCCGTAATAAACAATATTATTATTAATATTTTAGATTTTGAAGAAATCTAAGTATACGTTGCTATATCGTGTTAGTTGGAACGCAGGTCATAAGTTTCTAGGATCTGTAAAATAAAAATGTGACAACTTTATTTTTATTGGTTTAACCACTTGCAGTTCATGTAATGGGAATTTACAGCCAATACCAACTAACCCTAAACTGATCGGGAATAGGTCTAAATATCGACAGCTATACTATATGTTTTGAAAGATCGACGGAGCTAATGCGTTGCATCTTTGAAGTATCCTTAAATATCTACTAAAATATCAGCTATTGCGGGTCTACTTTATCACTTATACAACATTAATAGAATGGACGTTATAAAAGAGCGTACATTTATTACGAAAATAAAATAATATTAATCTGTGTTTCTAATTCGTCTGGGTCTACCTACACTATATATATATATATAATAATTATAACTTATAAATCATCCATTCACCGACCGAATAACTAGTGCCAAAACTCAAACGATAGAAACGCTCTGGAGGCCCTTCAAAACTAAGTAGTAGGTATAATAACATTAAAACACGTAAAGCAAACTAACATAATATTAGAATACCAACACTAGGAAGAGTGGTGGCGCACTGTTCAACCGTCTACAGAAGATTTATTTCATTCATTCTTCCGAGATATAGGACATGCACATTACATAATATTATAAACCCTGCAAGTACTTTTACACTATTAACGAAGAAATTGTCAAAGTAAAAATACTCCGTTCTGTAATAATGGTAAGGTAATTTTAATTCGTAGGTGGCATAATGTTAAGCCAACATAAATTTACTGTGGATAGTGGATACAATTTTTATAGTAAATAGCATATCGGACGATAAATATTGTTATGGCGTTAAAGGCACAATATAAGTGCGATATTTTATTTTCGAAATCGAATTTATTGGTTTCTATGCAAGTACATTGCATAACATAAATTACTCAATAATAGAAACAGCACAGTTTCTGACGTGCAGTCTATTGTATACATTGAATTAATACATAGGTAGTTAGGAAAAAAAACCACCTAGTTATAATATGACGTGTATACGCCTGCAAATTAAAATCGGTTAAAATTAAATATGAGATTTCCTATCCTGTAATAATTATTAGTCATTAACAATATAATAATATTATGTTCTCACACGTCGAATGTGAAGTTCATCGTTGGCCATCACTAACGCGCGGACCGATTGTTTCCAATGTTGTAAAGTGTTAGTGCACTCGTACTTACAACATTACACATAACACAAATTAATATAATATTATTTAGACTGAACAATGATTGACTTATTATACTAACTTATAGGGGAGCATTATAAATCGTCCTTAATAGCTTCTCCGGCGGACGACGACGACAAAATTACAATATCATAAGTCACTTTGTATCCAACATGCGCAATAATAGTGTGTTAAAAAGTAACTCGTCCATACAATATTATTATTATAATATCTATATATTACTTTTATATTATATATTGTGTTGCGCAGGAACACTTTCATTCGTAGCCCGCGGCCGTGTAACAACCACGCGGTATTATATATTATTACGGGGAGCGTATATCACTGCATGATATAGATCACACATGGTTATAGTGGTTATAGTGGTTATAATATATTATCGTTTCTATATGGGACAAGCGCGGTGCCCCGGTCCGAACAAAAACAATAATTTGTCTTCGAGACGGTGCTATCTCTGGTAAATTTATGCTCGCGCGAACTCTCGGCGCACGATAATGATATATATTTATAATATAATATATAATTTCATATCTGCGAGAATCGCGTGCGTACATATATAAATTGCCATACACACAAATATTACCTATATACTATATTATATGGATAACACCGCGAGTACATATATATATAATATTATGGTACTCGGTTAAGTCAAACATCCGGTTATTATAATATATTGTATAAACATTATACAAGCACGTGTGTGTGTGTGTGTGTACAGTTGAAGTGTGCGAAAACTTTAAATGATTAATGCGCAATCGTATGTATAGGCGAATATTGCCGCCGCCGCCGGTCGAATATCTCGTGATTAGGACCAGGATTAATATGCAGTCGATTTGCATATAAATTATTGCCACCCCCCGAAAAATAAAAAAATGTTGAGACGAATTTTAATCGCCGACTCTCTGAAAATTTATAAAATTGTTACGCTGTGTTTTAACGTATATAATATTATTCGTTTTCGGAAATTTATGGTCACTCGACCCGTGTATAATAATATAGGTGCTATTAAGTAATATACATTATTATATAATTCCCAGTTTTGCGGTTTTATAAATTGTATATTATTGTGTTACCTACGATAAATTATGCGCACAAAGAATTTATGTCATATTTTT